TCTCAAAACGCTTCACAGAATAATAATAATAATAATCCTTGCATTTGATATAGCGCTTTTCATGTCAGGAGGACATCCCAAAGCTCTTCACAGAACACACTGTAAAGTGAATTGACTGTATATTTGTGGGCGAACGCGGCAGCCAATTGCGCACAGCAATGTCCCACAAACAGTCGTAGAATGAAAACGACCAATTTATTATTGTTTTTGGTTTTGGAGGGATTATTATTAAGCGTGTGGAGTAAGGAAACTTGCCCAAAGTTTCACCCTGCCTGGAATTGAACTCAGGTCTCTCGCTTGCAAAGAATATACTATAAGGTGAATTGACTGTATATTTTGTGGGCGAAACACAGCAGCCAATTGCGTACAGCAGTGTCCCTTCTGCTAGGTCACTCCCTTTTTCTTTAAATAGTGTCATAGGATCGTTAACGGCCAGCTAAGACCTCAGTTTAATGTCTCATCCAAAGGATGTTTTATTGAGTTTAAGTGCGAATATACTTGTTGGTTACAATGCAGCCTTCTTATCATGTTCTTCTTTATAATACAGGTTTAGTATGGTAGTCATGGTAGTGACATCTGGACCTAAAAGTCACTGAGTTTATATTTTAGCACAGGAAGTGTCTGCTGCATAGCAATAGAGCCAGCGAGCCCTGTGTATTTGTAGCAAAACTCCCCATACAGCTTCCTTCCCCTCTAATGGCTGTTGCATTTCGCCCACAGAATATACAATCAATTCACTTTACAGTATATTCTGTGAAGTGCTTTGAGACGTCTAGAAGACGTGGAAAGCGCTATATAAAATGCAAGTATTATTATTTACTATTATTAATTCACCAGAAACATCACTGACTGCAGACACCATCTCAGTTTATCAAAACTAGCAAGGCCAGGTGCCCTCCTTCATGTAGCACAAGAAGAAAATGTAGCAGGCCTAGCTATACCTCAGCCCTGGGACAGCAACTGAGTATACACGTAATGTCATATTCTTGGAGGAAGAAAGGAGAAGTAGTCACGTGTAAAGATTTGCACATACTCTGAATGAAGAAACCTTCAATTGACCCCTTGAATAATGTTCCTCTGACCCCTGTTAAACTGATTAAAAAAAATTGCATTTGATATTGTGCATTTGATGTCAGAAAGATGTAAATCACATGATTTACAGAAAGTGATTGTGTATGAGGAAGTTTGTTGCATTTTTCCATTAAACTACCAAACATCTTATTTCCCTTTGTCAAATGTTCAGTGTTGCATCATTTCTTGGTGAGATTGTAATCATTAAAAATATTGAGTGGCCAAGCTTTTGCAGTAGTTCACCGGTGAATCTTTTAAATTGGTTTTGGTTAAAGTTAATTATTAGCTTAAAATAAAATGCCCTTTCCATCTATCAATGATTAGGTGTCAGCCTAGCTCAGTTGTAGAGTTCTTGACTTTGTATCAGAAGGTTGTTGGCTCAAGCCCTAAGTGGATGTTAAAGATTCCATGGCACTATTCGAAAAGAAAAAATTAGTTTTTCCCACTGTTCTGGCTAACAAGTTTGTTACCCATTCACTTCATGGCTGTTTGTGGGGACACTGCTGTGTACAAACTGGCTACCGTGTATTGTCGAGGTACCTGCCTTTTGGCTGAGATATTAAATTGAGATATCATTACTTTTTTTCAGGTCAGGTTGACATTAAAGATTCCATGACACTAAAAGAGGTTTCTCCCGGTCTACTGGCCAACATTCATCCTCATCTTTTTATGAGTTCTAACTTGTGTAAATCGCTGTTGTGTTTGAACTCATATGCTTGATACTATTAGCTGTGAAGTGGTTTGACATTCTATAAAAATGTATGTTGTTTTCCTGCCTTGATTGTGAACAGTGCTCTCTGTATTTATCTAATATTATTGGACTACTCAGGTCATTAGTTTAACACCGCAACCTTAAGACACAGTCTTCTTACCTTAAAGAATTAAAAGAATTGCAACGCTTCTACACCAGTTATCATAAGCAGTTTGTGTGACGCTATTCCATTATGTAGACATTTTTCAACCCGTTGTGCATTTTTACACTAGACACTCCTAAAAATAATGCTTCTGTTGTTTCTCTGTTTGATATTAGTTTCCATTCAGCACTTCAAGGTACTTGCAAACACAGTTGTAAGAAGTTGGGTCACGTTCCACAGGATAACAAATACAGTCAAAGAGGTTGCTTTGTTTATGCGGAGGAATAATCCATTATTCATAACAGATGGCTCTCCTGGGACTTAGATTTTAAATGTCACTATCCTGAATTTTGGCAGTAAAGCTTCAACACCTTTGAAGCTTTATTCTCTACGAAACCTCAGTGAGCCATAGATTTGCTAATACTGCTATCACTGACTGAGCACAGATGCTGAATGCCAAGTATATAGCTGTTTACAGAGAGCTGCATTGCTTTGTGAATTACAGGTAATTTTTCACCGCTTTGCACAAGACTTAATTCGGGCCTAGTCGATACTTTTGAGCAGTTACATAGTTTTACTGCTGCTTAAAAACAATATATGTATATATAATAATCCTTGCATAACACTATGGACACAGCAATGTAATCAATTTCATAAAAGCATTGCCAGATATTGTTTACAAGGTCTTTCACCTGGATTGCAGGACCTATGATGTGTAGGAGCAGTTTGATTAGCGTGCTGAGGGTATCCAGTTCCATATCATATTCTCTGCAATTTGCGATTTTCCATTCAGAGAGCTCGAGTTGAAGGCTCATTTTAAACTCGTCCAACTCCTTTTAAAAGTTACTATTGTTGACATTCCTGAGAACCAGAAAGAAGTGAACAAGGAAGAGAATGAACAGGAGAATCTAAGTGGGGTGTGTTGCAGACCTATCCTTGCAACTATATCCCCCACCCAAGTTTGCATCCGTAACCCCACATCTTATTCTCCTGGAGGTGGGGTGGGAAGAGTGTAAGCAGGGTAGCCTTGGAGCTGAACTCCGGGGTGTAAGCAGGGTGTAAGAAGGAGAGAGAGACCGCAAGCAGGAAAGCTGTGCTTTAATACACATGTTGAGTACATTGTAAACACAGTATTGTTGGATTATATACTAGCAAAAGAAGTTACATTTATATCAAACAAATATGTAATATTGTCAGTCATGATACTGAAACCAAACAGATTATAATAGTAATACTTTGGCGCAGTGAAATAATCACAAGATGGGTTTGGAAGAAGGCCCTTCAGTCCACCTGATTTCATAATAGAAAAATAATCCTTGCATTTGATTTAGCGCTTTTCACATCTTCTCGACATCTTGAAGCGCTTCACAGAATAGTCTGTAAAGTGAATTGACTGTATATTTGAGAGCGAAATGCAGCAGCCAATTGCGCACAACAGTGTCCCACAAACAGTCGTGGTTTGAAGTGACCAATTTATTATTGTTTTATTTTCTTGAAGGATTATTATCAGGCGTGTGGAGTAAGGAAACTTGCCCAAGATTTCACCCTGCCGGGAATCAAACCCAGGTTGCTCGCTTGCAAAGTGAGTGCTCTAACCACTGGGCTCCACCTTCCAGCCCACACCCCATCCCCCCATTCTGAACATCAAACTGCTTTTTAGATTGATTCAGTGTCCTGTTCTCATTACAAATGTAGCAAAATTGTTCTGTTTACTCTTATGACTACTTTGTGAAGATAAGACATTTGGCTCCACCGTTGCAATATAATGTATCACTGGAGTCGATAAAGGTCTTTGTGGCTGTCCTGTACAACTTTTGAAAGATACTTGAAATTTTGAGATTCATGATTCCTCAAATTGGTTGTAAAGTCATGTTTGTCACCAGACAAACTACTGTTCGCGGGACAGTCAATTCACTTCACAGTATATTCTGTCAAGCACTTTGAAATGTCTCGAAGACGTAATAAGGCGCTATGTCAAATCCAAGGATTATTATTATTACATAATTCAGCTAAAGAGGCTGCAAAGTATCATATTTATCAATTATGAAATGAGGTGTGCTATTTGTTGTTTTTATTGTTATCAATATTCAGGTGGTTAGCTTGTAACCAGAAAAAATCAAGCATGGGTGTATGTGGAGTTTGTGTGGGGTGGAGAAAATTGGTGTATGGGAAATCAAATCAAAGTCTTTCCTTTTCGACCGTGCTTTCGGTCACTTCCCCTCTCTTTCGAATTCGGCATCAAACCACACTACTATTAAGCACTCCAAGGGTGCTACCTGTTTGAATGGTTCTATATAAATACAAGTTGCTGTGGTGGGGGGCAGGGAATGTTTGTTTTTCTTATCAAGAAAAAAAACAATAATAAATTGGTCACTTCAATCCACGACTGTTTGTGGGACATTGCTGTGCGCAATTGGCTGCTGCGTTTCGCCCATAAAATATACAGTCAATTCACTTTACAGTATATTCTGTGAAGCGCTTTGAGACGTCTAGAAGATATGAATAGCGCTATATCAAATGCAAGGAATTATTATTATTATATAATGTGTGTGCTGTGTGAATGATAGTGAAATTACTTTGGTTCACTATATTCTCTATCTATATTTTTTTTCTTTACTAGCAGTTGTTAAATATTTACAGAAAATAACTAGATGATGTAAGGTGAAATTGACAGAATTGAAGGCTTAATACAATGGAAGGTCTTATTGCTTACCTTTCAGGTAAGGCTGTACCATTGCATTAGTTCGATCCCATTCACGTCCTTGCATTTGGAAAGACATAGATAAAGGAACTAAAGGATTGCAAAATACTGCTGGAAATCTGATGAAAGGTCATCGACCTGAAACGTTAACTTACTTTCCTTTCTCCATAACTGCTGCCTGACCTGCGTTCCCAGCAACTTCTGTTTTTATTACTGTTTTTTGTGAAACTTCTATTTCACCATCACTTAACTTACATTTGACTCTGTCAGACCATTCTTGTTTAATTTACTTGATACAGAAATAGTTTTCATACATGTGGATCCGCATTGCTGCAATTATCTTAAATAAGTCTTTTTTTTCCGTTCTGTTACAGTTTTTTCATTCATTCATGAAGAGTATTTCCAAGCTAATGTAGCAGAAGTGCAAACAAGCAGGATTCCACAGTGAAGGCTTGACTGACCGAGTGCACAGTAAGGAAACTGATGAGGAACAGGAGGTAAGGTTGACGTCTTACCAAGTAACCAGAAATGTTGTGCAGGAGGCTGCGGCATTTCAAGGCTAAGCTGCTTCGATGGATACTTACTGGAGTGTTCTGCATCCTTACATTTCTATTTGTTACAAGTCGTCAAAAGGAGCCTGTAAACCAGTGCAAAGATTTGGAGCTGGTCGAAGAGGATGCTAGATATTATATAAACTGCTCTGGTGTCCTTGATGGAAATGAAGATATACTAAAACTGGCAAAACTTCAGTTAATCTCCAATATATACCAAAATCGTCCTGTGCTCAGTGAGACTGATTATATAGGCTTGACCAAACATTGTCCCAACTTCACCAAGTTTCAAAAATATGTCACTTTCCCAATAAGCAAAGAGGAAGAAGAGTTTCCTATAGCCTACTCTATAGTAATCCATCACAGAATTGACATGTTTGGAAGACTTTTAAGATCAATATATGCACCTCAGAATTTTTACTGTGTTCATGTTGACAAAAAATCATCTACAACTTTCTTTGATGCAGTTAAGGGCATTGTGTCATGTTTTGACAACGTCTTTATCGCCAGCCAACTTGAGAGTGTAACTTATGCATCGTTTAGCAGGGTACAGGCTGATGTAAACTGCATGAAGGATCTTCTCCAAAGAAACTCAACATGGAAATACTTGATCAATCTCTGCGGTTTGGATTTCCCCTTAAAAACCAATTTTGAAATGGTGGAGAACCTCAAGGCCTTGAAGGGTAAGAACAGCCTTGAAACCGAGAAGACATTACCTCATAAAGAGAAGAGATGGAAACAGCAGCATCAAGTAGTGAATGGGAGGCTAAAGAATATGGGAACGAGCAAACAGCCTCCACCAATTGCAACACCAATGTTTTCAGGAAGTGCCTACTTTGTTGTCAGTAGAGATTTTGTGGAATACATATTGGGAAACACAAAAATTCAGAACTTTCTTATGTGGGAGAAAGACACTTTCAGTCCAGATGAGCACATGTGGGCAACACTTCAGAGAATGCCTAACGTTCCTGGATCGGTTCCTGTTAATACCAAATTTGATGTCTCTGACATGAACTCTTTAGCTAGGCTGGTAAAATGGAGCTACTTGGAAGGTGATGTTTCCAAGGGAGCTCCTTATCCTCCTTGCACTGGGACACACATCCGTTCGGTGTGTGTATATGGAGCAGGCGATCTGAATTGGATGTTAAAGCAGCATCACCTATTTGCTAATAAGTTTGACTCATCTGTTGATGGCATAGCAGTTCAGTGCTTAGAAGAGCATCTGAGGCGCAAAGCTCTCAAGCGCTTTCTAACGTATACATAATTCCATGTACATCTCTTTTGTACAAATCTCTTAAAGATCAATTTGCCATGTTGGTACTGTTGCATGACTCAAGGTGTTGCTGGACCTGCTGCAAGATTTGACTGTTTCCTTTAGTAGAAAATGCATATAAGATTTGAAAATTCATTCACATTGTGTTGTCAACAGAATGCATGTGTTTCTTGACAAATTGTGGCTAGCTAAATAGTTAAAGGATAAAACCTTGGGATGAGTTTGTTCTTATTTCGGCAAGACAGCATGCCAGTTATATGCAAATTGTCATTACTGATATTTCATTATAAGGTATCTTAAGGACATCTAAGCTGTTCCGATTTTCTTAATTTATAAAACTGCCCTTATGTAATCCTCTGTGCAGTGTAGCAGTGCATTGAATCATGGCAATGAGATTTGAATATTTTTTCTGATATTACTTAACTATATCGTCCCCATTATTGAGGCGATGTGTTCCTCTGTAACAAAATACTCATTCCTCTAGTCTGCCAACAAACATGATCTCCATAAAACTGACCCCAACAGCTGGTGGCTTGATTTGATGTCACTCGCAGATATTGCAGGGCTAATGCTCTGTTAACTATGGGAATACAGTAGTTTAAACCATCAGGTCCGATTGTAAAACGGGAAATACTTGTGCAGGGAAATCTTGTTAGCAGACATGCTGAATGTTCTGAGAGGCCATCAAGGGATGCTTCCTAACAGTGATGTCTTAATAAATTGGCACTTGCTAAGAACTTATGTTATTTTACAGCACCAAGTAAGAAGTGTTGCAACATTAGAATGACTTGTATTGAAACTAAATGATTTGTGAGAAGAGTATGGAGGGAGGGAAGAAATGAAACGAAGTTAACACTTTTAACTGCTGTGCTGCTCCAGCAAAAGTCTGTTTCTAGTTATACTTTACAAATAACTTGATTTACATAACAAGATTAAAGAGAAAACTACCAAGTACCAACAAACTTCAATCCTGAGCATTGATAAGCATAACCTGTGGGAAATGAACAAGATACCAAACAAAATGTCATTTTTTTTATTTAAAAAAAGCTTTACGTTTGCGGTGGCTATTAGTGAAGGGTGCAGTAGCGTGTGGCTGTGTGCTGGATTGGATAGTCTGTGTGTTTCTCGAATGATTTCCTCCCCAAGTTTCTGATTTGAGTCGGCCTACGTGGAGTGGGACTGAACAAATGTAAGATGATTCCATCTGTGGGACGGTAGTGAGTTACGCACATTCTGTGATTGACTTACCAGCACTATCAGAGCAGAGGACTGGTGACAGCTCATTTGCTCTCCATTTCTCAGCCTAAGACCTGGTTAAGAACCAAAGAAAAGGGAGTGGATTTTTGTTTTTTAAAGAAAAGTGAAATGTGTGTTCAAAAGTTTATTTTATCTTTCTATATATATATATATTAATCATGAACTGCTTATTTTTGAATTTTCTGACAACATGGCTATGTTTTCAATTTAAAGACTCAGTACAGTAATGTACTTTCACATTGTGATCGCTTTAAGATGGACAGCTTGACCAACCTTGATTCATCAATGATATGTTCTCCTCAATCCAGTACTGTACATGGTTGTCTGACCTACAGCTCCAACTTTGCCTCTGGGGAAACAAAATGATTCTTTGCTAGTATTGGGCTTCATTTGAATATCCCTTTATTTAGCAATATGAATATCCCAATTACAGTATGTGGATGATGATTGACTGCAAAGCCTTCATTACTCTTTTGAATGCATCCTCATTTTTATAAATAATTATTAGGTTTGTTCCATATTGAGCCAAATCCATTTCCTGAGTCCCTTTTTATAAAAAATGAGAATGCATACAAAAGAGTAATGAAAGCTTTGCAGTAAAGGAATTGTTGCAGTTCTCAAGGCAAAGAACTATTAGATACAATAAGATTCAGATGTGAATTTAAACTGGTAATGTTTGTTTTCTGTTGACACGATACATTCACATCGCATTTCAAATTAAATATTGAACGAAGGTTTTGGACATCATTCTGCCTCCATTTTTCACTTTCAATTAAATCTTAGCTAAGTCCAAGTGCACTTTTTTAAAAAAAGGAGTATATTAAATGAAAAGCAAATCTATTATATTAAAAAAACTAAGCTGGATCTAAGTACTACAACTTTTAAGATTTTAGAGGTTTAACTTCAAGAATGGCTTAGATTTTTTGAGGGAAATTAAAGAACTGAAATTATGTATTCATACACAAAAAAAATTGTGGAATGTTCTGGTGTTTGTGGATGATGTTTACTCTTTCTGATGCAACTTTTTAGACTACAATCAAATAAAAGAATCTAGATGAAGACTCTTAGAATACAAAATGATTTAAAAGATGCCCTTAAGAAAATTAATACCGTTTGTGGCCCAATAATGCTGAGTTTCTAGAGTTTCTCGTTGGAGCTTGACTTTTTTGGTTAACACTGGAAAATTACTGTGCTGAGGAGCCCCTACAGAAAAAGAAACCATCTTTAATAATATGATTTCTCAAGGCAAATGATATGTAAAAGGGTCTTTGAACTGCAATTCAACATATGCTAAAGTGTTTTTTCTCCAGCTTGCCTCTGTTGTGTTAGCTACAAGCTATTTTAAGGAAGTGAGAGAATCATGCTCTTAGCCATTTGTCCTGATGTGCACTTTGTTGAGTTCTCATCTTGTGCAGGTGTAATGTGAGCTGATGGTTGATCGTGTTTCTGCTTCTTCAAACTGTGGGTGACCTTCTGAAAACAGCACTGTAGTGGAGGACAAAGCAAGGTGACACATGTCCTGCAGGCCCTGCTTGCTATTTAGACACTTGCACAGAAGATTTTTACCCCTTTTTATATGAAGCTTCATGCTTCCTCCACCTGCTCCCCGCACCATCGGGAGGCAAACCTGAAGCCAGTTTGCCCCTTCTCACTTGAACTGTCTCCTGGTATCCTTCCTCCTCCTCCCCCTCTCTGCTTTTAAATCTGGTCTGAAATCTTATCTCATCTCCACTTTCACTCCCATTCACAATTTGGGCTCTAACTTAGACTTTGTAAAGTGTTTTGAGACATTCTCCCAATTAGAATGGCACTATAGAGGTGTAAATTATTCCTGGTATACAGTGGAACACTCAATATCTGCATTATAATTTGACAGGCGCAGTCAACTTTGCAAAAGAAGCTTTTACTTGTCATTCAAGTGAACAACACAGACATGTGCAGAAGCATTGTGTGGCACATTTATTCCACACAATATACTGTCGGATCAATGACACAGTACAATATGTTAAGGCTGTAAGTCACAACATCAAACCACTGAGCATTTACAATGGGTTTTTGCACATCTCACTTACATCGCTTCCAAAATCTTTAATATACTACTGATAAGCAGTGATTCCCATATTTCATAATCACATGGGAGTTAGAACACAAGGGTGGAATTGGGAATGAAATTGTGGATCATTTGGTATTTAGTGATGATGACAATAACAACAATTGCAACAATAATAGCAATTGTTGTTGTGTTGTAATCCTGCATTTCATATAGCACTTTTCATGTCAGGAGGATGTCTCAAAGTGCTTCACAGAATTTTACTGCAATGTGTAGTGACTGTATTTTGTAGGCTCGTACAAATATAATGTATCCTGTGGTGCACAATACCTATCAATCGTTATTAGCTGCTTCTCAGTAACGTATTACGTGCATGATAGGTGCGACACATTTTCCCAAGAAATCATACAAAGCGTGAACATAGGATTTAGTGACATGTGTCAGTATTGTGCTTATCATCAATTCAATTCATACTTAAAATTGTCAAAAAAAATCCTAATGTCAAATCACTGCATACAGTATAAAGGACAGAAATAATACAGTAATTATTCTTAATTCACTTTTAAAATGAGGTTTTTAATATAAAATGATTGGAATCGTTTAAAGGCAAAATACATTTTGTAATGCTTTGTACTTTTATGCAATATTTTAATGGAGTGTCTGTACATATGGTATCTATTTGCAGTGAACCTATACTGTACATTACTTGAAAGCTGTAAATGTTTTAATTGTGGGACAGAAGTGTGCAACTCAGAGGTGTTGATTTATCTGGGATCTGTAACAGAGCAGTGTAAGGGGCATGAATAGCGGGACTGGGGCTTTTATATGAATGCAAGGGCGCTATATAAATGCAGGTTTTTATTGTTTTATTGCACAAGGGAGAAACCAGCAGAAGCACAGCAGTTTGCTCCTGCAAATGTTGTTTTCATTTAATTCTTAATAAAATATGAGTCAATCTTGAATCAAAAGTGTTTATAAAAAGCAACAATGTTTTAAATGTATTGTTACTCATTGGAGTGTATTTAGTTAACAACAATTTAAATTGTATATTTATGAATATTTTACCAGAGTGAATGCCTCAGTTCCCTGCTGATGAAATGGTGAATAAATTACATTGTCACTTCAATATCTTAATGGCACAACATTTGTTTTTGATTGTCAAATTTGAATAATTTGGTGAAAAGCTTTATTATAAATAAAATCTTTTGTACAATATCCTGCCGTGTCATTTTGCAATGAAGTTTGTACAGCCAAATTTTATTTGTCATGAAGCAATATAACACAGATCTCTTGCTCCTTAATGTCAAATGTAATGACTTTGGATTGCATATAATGACTGCATGCAAAGTCATTATATTTATCATGACGGACCTTGCATCCATACAACAGCAAAATGGTGTGGCTGATATGGGAATAGATTGCTGGAATTGGTCCCTTGTCATAATAATAGTATACTAAAGCCCGGCTAGCTTGACTAATGGTGGGGGGGCGCGGTGGGGGGAATCCAGTCCAGTGAGCTGGAATTTCCAGGCAAGTGGCATTACAGTACATTTACCAGCTTTTTGTTTGCTGGCTTTTTTCAGTGCTGATAAAATGTTGGTCCTGCCATTGTAATTGTTTGGATCCCGCGAGCAGAAGGTAGCGAATAAAGTATCAAAGTCAATGGCCCTGGCCGCTGAAGGATGGTGAGGTGGGGCGCGTTGGAGAGTGGGCTAGCTAAAGCGTCTGCTTCCATGCTTCCAAAACATGGATTTTTTTCTGCTTCCAAAACATGGATTTTTTTTAATTGGCTTTTTTTTAAAATCCATTTCAGGTCCGGTCCAGCTAGGTACGAATTCTTGGACACCTGAAGTCTAGTAAGCCGGAGTTTACTGTGAGCCCTTACATTTGTTATAGCGCCTTGCATGTTGATCCGGGGGGGAACCGTCACAAAGTACTTCAACGGCTGTACTGTGGAGTGACTGTAATTACGTGGGCAAATATGGCAGCCAATTTGCATCCAACAATATCCCACAAACAGCCAAGTCCGATGCACGCTGTTATCGGAATGGCAATTCCTGTTCCAGCTTCCAAAGGACTTATGGAACAGACAGTTCAATGGATCAAATATCCTCCACTATACTGTGGATAAGAGAGTGTCTATGGATGTCGTCTACATGGACTTCCAGAAGGCATTTGATAAGGTTCCGCAAAAGAGGTTACTAGCAAAAATAAAAGTGCATGGAATCTGAGGTAACCTTGCAACAAAGGAGGTTTGGGGAACAAAGGAACTCTTCCCTCAAAAGGCTGTGGATGCTGGATCCATTCACATCTTCAAGACTGAGGTGAGTAGAAATTTGTTAGGTCAGGGTATTCAGGGATAAGCGCGGGTAATTGGACTTGAGGTACAGATCAGGCATGATCTTATTGAAAGGCAGAACAGGCTCGAGGGGTTGAATGGTCTACTCCTGTTTCTGTGTTTCTAAGAGTTTGAAATGGTTGACCAAAACTCGAGGCAAGATTAGAATCTATGATTATACGCCTGCATCTGAACCACAAGATTACCCCGAAGGAGTGGGAAGTTTGTAAAATGGAGTTTTCATTGACAACCTATGTTATTTTCCCTGATTTAACTCTAGCAGCAATGCATACTCTGGGTGAGAGCCACGCCTTGAGGCCTGGCTGTTCCCCTGTGATCCTCGAACTCCTCATCAAAGCCTTCCTGCTTAGTTACTTTCCACCACATCCCCGTCCCAACCAAGGTGGTGGCAGGGTCGTTCTAATCTTCCAAGCCTCTCTCCATCTATCGTGGAGTCCTGTAGCTCAGTGGTGTGGAGTCCTGTAGCTCAGTGGTTAGAGCACTCGCTTTGCAAGTGAGAGACCCGAGTTCAATTCCAGGCAGGGCAAAACTTTGGGCAAGTTTCCTTACTCCACACAGAGCCTAATAATAATCCCTCCAAAACAATAATAAATTGGTCATTTTCAATCTACGACTGTTTGTGGGACATTGCTGTGCGCAATTGGCTGCCGCGTTTGCCCACAAATGTACAGTCAATTCACTTTACAGTGTGTTCTGTGAAGCGCTTTGGGACGTCCTCCCGATGTGAAAAGCGCTATATCAAATGCAAGGATTATTATTATTATTTCTCCTTGATCCTCTGTCTCCTTCCTCTCTTTTGAGCACCTCAACCTGTGCCATCCCCCACTTCTCTCCGTCATAATCCTTTTCATCTACACCCCCCCAAACCTCCATCCTCTCAGATATCTCCTCTCATCCCTCTGCATCTGAACTGAAAGCCTGCCCATAATGGGCAATTTCAAGCTTCATCTTAACTCCTCCTGCACCATCTACTCTGATTTTGCTGCCCTCCTCCCTAAACCTTAGCCTCCATATAAACTCCCCTGACCCACAACCATGGCTACCCTCTCTACCTTGTTATTACCCATGACCTTGATAGCTCTGATTAAATCCCAAGCCCAAACACTTGAACACAAAACCGACCTTACTGTGTACCGCCAAATGTGGCGCAACCAAAATTCCCAGGCCATTCTGGAAGTCAAAAATAACCCCCAAAGTGCTGTTCTTTATCACTACATCACCTCCTCTATGCACCCTCTCAAGCACCCGTGAACCTTACATCCAATGTGAAGAGGTCTTGGACTTCTTTGTTTCAAAGATAGATAACATCTGCCTGACTGC